TGGAGAGGACAGGAAAAAGAAATATAATCCATATCAGAAGTTGCTGGCATGGCATGGCTGCTGATGAAGAAGGGAAATGGTATTCTTTTGAAACACTGTTATTGGCTTTAATAAGAAAAATAGCTATACAGTCACGAACGACAAATTCAAAAAACATTTCCTGGTAAAACTATCACAAGGATGTTTTCTACTACAGCCCCCATCATTTTAGAACTGTTTCCCAGAAAAGCTTGTTGGAAATAGCCAACTAACAGCTTCACTCTATTTTAGGAAAAGAAATGGTAGTTCAAAACAGCTATCCACTGTCAACACTATACTAACACTTGCCAAGAAATCACACAATCACACAAACAAATAAAAATACAAATGATGTAATTCGAAGAAGCCTCCTTATATTCAGGATGAATCGGATTGAAAAATCTAAATAGCTTAGAACTGTACAGATAAAAACTATATATATTGATATTAACAAGAAGATTGGCATGGCAAGGGTCCTATTTACTTGGGCCCAAGATATGGACTATCAGAAGATCGATATCTGTGATCATAAATCAAATATGAAGATGAATGTTGAGGTTGGATATCAAGTTCCATGGCCTGCAAGTTCAAAACACAGCAAGACAGAAAAATTAGTGCCAAAAGAAAAATCAGAATTCCACCAAAACCACCATCCAAATTTATGGCAATTATCCAATCTCCAATCATCCACACCTGCCTGAGTTGAGTGGTGTCTGATACAGACTCTTGGTATGTGCTACGGATTAAAGGTTCCTGCATAAAATATGCCATTGTAAACAAAATGAAAGTCATATTTCTTTACATCAGAATGTTAAGTATGAGAGTTTTTTACCTGAAGTAACTGGGTTTGGCCGGGTAAGTCATGATGATCAGAAAAGAAGTTTGATTGCTGATACATGTCAGTACTGGCTTGCTGTTCACTGACAAGATTAGGTTGTTGGTACATGCATTGTACCACTTGATTAGCTTCAAAGTTGTATAAACCCTGTGCAAAGCATATTCAAAAACTAGTAAGTTGAATGATAAAAGCCCAGCAATATGTGGCCTAATTATATCAATGCAAGCAAAGAATCACCTGCATAACAGGATTTGGTGCTGAGGCTTGAGGTGAAATGTATGCTTGTGGGGGACTTGAAATGCCCATCAACATGTTTGGTGGGTCTGGTCGTACATTTTGAATTCTTTTGGCCACAGAACTTATCTCATGCATATTTTTTGGTTTGTATCTATTAGATGGAGCAGTCTTGTTTTTTTTCCTTTTCAGTGCTCTACTCTCCCCATCCTGATCATCAATTACACTATCATCCAGAAAGATTTCTGCATTCTCACTGTCAGAAGCATTTGCAGGAGTGCTACTAGAGGTATCACCTTGTGCTTCCTCGGGTTTTAGTGCCAATATCTTCTCCACCCCTTCAATTACTTCATGGAGTTGCCTTGAAGCAAACTGAAATGCTTCTTCAGATTCAGCAGCCCTCACAGCTATATTGATTATACTCTGACACAAATCTTTGTAATGTCTTGCCACTAGCAACTCAGGATTTTCTTGCCCAATGAATTCACTATCCTCTCGCAGACTTCTGATCCTGGCATCTTTTGTCCATCTCTTCAAGATATATTGGGAGGGAACCACCTTTATATTCCTCTGGTCAAGCACCTTTAGTGCATGGCTACAAAGAAACCCAACATATTCGAACTTCCTACAATCACAATTAACTGTATTATCTGAAGAATTAAATGTAACAGAATACTCCTGAGTTTGTTCAAATGTATTGACTTTATATTCAGAGAAAAATTCATTCTGACTACACAGGTTAACAACAACATTTAAACACTTCTCATATTCTCGCTGAAATACTTCAAATGCCCCTGGAGTATACACCTCACTTGCATGCTTTAACAAAATTACATTCCCCATTAACCTTGGCCTGCAATGGTTCATTTCATAATTAGCTTCTATTTCTTTGTAGCGTTGTTCATCTAACACCCTTTCAAAATGCTTAAAAAATTGGAGCACATCCTGGTCAGAGTTCATGCAACTTCTTAACTGGTTAGAAAAACTCTCACCCAAATGTGAGCATTTCAAGTCAACAAAAAATGTGTTTCTGCCATATACCATTGCCCATTTCTCTCTTTCTCTGAACATCCATCTCAGCCACTCATTTTGCCTAAGATCATAATTGTCTAGCATGGCCTCCCAGGCATGAATGAAGTCATCTTCATTCTTATGATCATAGATACAACTTCTAAAATCAGTAGCAAAAGAGCCATTCTCCCTCACTACATGGCTGAGATGTTTAAGGGCATTCTGGTGCATCTGCCAAATACATATGTGATGACTAATTTCTGGTAGTATTGAACTGACAGCTTCAACAATTGTTGCATCTTGATCTGTGAGAATAACCTTTGGCTTCTTTCCAGACATTGCTTCAAAAAACCTGTGAAATAGCCACTTCATTGATTCAATAGTATCGTCAAATAGAAGACCAGCAGCAAAGATCAAAACTTGATTATGATGATTCAGACCTATCAACTGTACAAATGGCTGAAAAGCTTTGTTTGTCCTACAACTTGTGTCTAAGCAAACCACATCACCAAAATGATCATAATCCACTACCATATTATCATCAGCCCAAAATATATTGCTTACCTTATCATTAACATCAAGCTGTACAGCATAAAAGAATGATGGGTTTCTGAAGTGCTGCCTCTGAAAATAACTCAACAAGCGACCTGCCTCACCCTCCTTCATATCTCTTACCCTTTCAGATTTTAGGTAATTATCATAATCCACATTAAGGCAATCAAGAGATTCACGTATTCCGATTTGGCTACTCACCAACTGATAATCTGACTTTGACTGTGTCTCCAAATCATTTGGTTGATCCGCTTCAGAAGCTTCAAAATGTAATTCCTTCTGCAGCTGTAACATTTGGACATTGTCTGGGTTAGTAATGTCATGATTGTGGCTTGCTTCAAAATGAGTAACCCGGTATTTGCCATCAGGTTGGCGAGTGACAATCATGTGTGCCAAGCAACCAGTTCTTGTTTCCATCCGATGCTTTTTTACACTGACATCTCTTTTGTCTTTCCTTCGATAACCTTCTTTGGAACAAGTGAACTTTCTAGAGACCACCTGACCATGAATCTTACTCCTATTTACCCAATCTTTTCTAACATTGAAACCTAACAACATAGCATATTTGCTATAAAACCTGTATGCATGTTCATCTGATTCAAACTCTGTTCCTATTTTTAGTACCCCGTCTGAATTGGTGTTGTTATTTGAAGAAATAGTGGACAAAGACACATTAACATGGCCAACTTTTGGGCTATTACCATCTTGCTCCATATTCAAGTCCAACTTCTCTGATGTTTGAATTCTAATATCATCCTCATCATGAGAAGAATCCAAGTAATTCTCATCTCTGCTCATTTTCCTTCATTAAAGTGGAAGTTTCAGTAAATAATAAATAAATAAAATGGATAATTATTTGGTCTTGAAACAGAAATGACACATCGGATATCAATTGAACAAACATCACTTGAGAAACTTAATGCCAGAGCTTAGTTAGAGGACAACGGAGCAAAGGCAGAATGAGACAAATATGAGACACACAACACAAGATACAGTTATAACTCCTAAGTCAAAATTTGTATTTGGCCTATATTCTTGTGTAATTCTCTTTCCAAAATCCAACTCAAAGCTGAGGGAGGATTAAAGATCAACAAAGCAAATGCCCAAGCTAATAAACAATAATTCATCAGAGATTTCCTATCCCCTAGCAAAAGCATCATATCCATACCCAAAAAAGAATACAGAGTCTCTTGCGTAGAAACTGATAGGATTAGTCCAAAACATACCCAAATCCAAAAATGACTGAACAGCAACAACAATAATATTTCTGGACACCTAAAAGACACGACAAAGGGATGGCATACCGCTCCTAATGAACGGTAATTTGTAAGAAACTTAGCAAGAATATTGAATTTCACTGCATTTGCAATGATTTAATAGAATTGCAATATATGTTCAAGTAAATCATTAAGCTGAGCTTACGAACTACCTCCATAGCTACGATCAGTTTAGGAATCCATTTAGCGAAACAAAGGTAGGAATCTGCAAAAATGGACACAGCGAAACCCTAGAGAGAGAAGGAGAAAGAGATAAAGTACCTGAGGCGGTTGATATTCAAATTTGTTAGGATTTGAGCTCACAGCTGCAATCTCAGATGTAGAGTGGTTTACTGTTGTACCGTCGGAGAGGAGGGGAAGGAGATGAGGAGTAAAGATTGGGTTCGGTACTTCGGTTTGTGGAATTTGAAAATGGGGCTCTTATTAAGGAGCGCTTTGTACAATTATTGATAGTTGCAGGCAGTCCTTTGTGATTTTCCTTTTGGTGGAGAGTCCTTTGTGAACTCATTTTTCTTTTTTTTTTTCTTCATTTTTAACGAATTACACTTTAGGAAAATGTTAAATGCTAATTTGGTCCCTCAATTTTAAGGTTTTATATAATTTTTATCTTTAATTTTTTTTGTACTTTTTTGACCCTTAACTATAAAAAATGTATTTTTTTCAATCTTCTGTTAATTAATTTGTTAAATCTATTTAAATTTACATATTTTTAATCTCTCAACTTCTAATATATGTGTATTTTTATCTCTTAATTTAAATTAAAGTTAAGGGACTAAAAATATATAAATTTAGATAGACTTAACATATTAATTAAAAAAAATTAAAAAAGTATATTTTCATAGTTAAAGGACTAAAAAAGTGTTAAAAAAAAAGTTAAGAGATGAAAATTGTACAAAACCTTAAGTTGAGAAACCAAAATTGACTTTAAACCTTAGGAAAAGTGTTGTAAGGTTAGGTTTGTACAAGACTGAATAACACTTTAAATTGCATAATATCATTATTTAATGTCTTATATTTTATTATTTGATATAATTTAAATTATAAAATAAAAAATTTTAACTTTTATTGATAATTTATAGATAATATTATAATTATAATGTTATTTAACATTATAAATTTATAATATAATAATTATTATATAATTAATTTTTTATTTAAAATTTTACTTATAATATTATATATATATCTATTTATTTAATATCATATTATATCATTTAATATTATATTATAATTATAAACTCATAATTTAATATAACATTTTAACTAGAGCATTGCCATTAACTTATACATGTGTCAAATTTTTATTTGTTGGTTGTATCATGCAGCATATATGCTGGTTCTTTTGTTATTATTTTTCAAACATTTTTCTTTTTAAACTTATTTATAATAAATAAAAAAAAATACATACCAGTCTTGACTTTTAAAATAAATTAAAGTTTTAACATTAAATTATGTTATTTTATTTAATTAAAATTTTAAAAATTTATTTTATTAAATATTAATATTTAAATTTAAAAAATGAATATATTAAAAAATATAACCAATTTCTAAATCTATATACTAATATTTAATAATATAAATTTCTAATTTTAAATTAAAATTTTAATTTCTAAATGTAAATTAAGACTCTAGTTTTTTTGAAAATTAAAATTAATACACACTAATCTATTATCAATTAAATTTCAAATATTTTATTTTCTTTACATCTAGAATTTAATGGAAATTGTATAAACTATTATTCAAGAATACGTTGGTTGGTAAGTTATTCAGCAAAAATTTAACATATCATAATATATTCTCTAATTTTAATTTGTTAGATTAATTATATTTTCCATATTTTAAGTGAGACCAATAAACTTTTTTATAAAATATTATTATTATTATTATTTATTTTAATTATTCATCCTAACACTAAAATTTTCTCCCTCCTTTTTTATTAATCTATTTCTCAAAGGTAATATATGTCAATAGGACTTATTATGATTGATTGTTTTACCTAAAATTTTCATTTTTTTTCCTTACTCAAAATTAGTTGTTATATAATTGATTATTTTATTTAAGAAACTATGCATAATGGTACACTTATTTATTTAATGTTTTTTTATTATTATAAATTTATAATTTTACATGTTATTATAATTATAATAATAAATAAGAACATATTCATTCGAATTTAAGAATCCGCACAAAATTCCCACATAATATGGGCCGCGTTGTTAAATTCAATTTTGAAGGATGACTGTTTAGTTCCAACCCAAAATCGGCCGCAACTTCAATTTTTTATTTTTTTTTTTAATTTCAAGTTTAATGACCATCGTGACATAGCAAAAGTTGTCTATCAGCTTAATAATAACTCATTTATTTAAAATAGGTCATGGTTTAATACACCTACCTCGAGAACTTATTTGATTAAACCCATTTGACCATGATTCGTAAAAGTAAGATCATAACTTGTAAAGTCATGAAATGAGTGGGTTACAAGTTACTTTCTCTTACTTATAGACGCTTTTGATCCAATTTGTCTAATGTACAAATGATCCAACTAAATCTCAACCCTAGCCACTCATTTAACATTTCTTCTTATCTTTAAATTTATCTTATATGAATATTATACAATTCAAAATCAAGACCTTATAATTTATTAAATAAAAATTACTACATCACTTGAGTGGGCGGCACCAGCTATCATCTTTATTTTAGAGCAACGGCATCAATGGACAAACTTTGATTTAAATCCTAATCACATACTATGCAATTGATGGTTAGTTAAAGCGGCCATAACTCACAAGGAAGATTGGTCAGAAGATTGGTTAGAAGATGTTCAATAAAATTTATAAACCTCTACAACCTTACTCATTTTGGCTGCTTTCAGAGATTCGAGAGTTGAACAAATGATCCATTCGGGTAGGAAGTTGGTTGGTTTGACTTTAGGAATGTTGATTGGAATTATTATCCCAACATGATTAGAATTGCAAAAGTGGGATGCATTCAGCCATTCATGGACAAAGCAATGAATTTATGTCAAGAAAATTTTTGAAGCTTATAGTTGCTTCCGGGAAAGGATGTGTCAAATTGAGGGGAAAAAATTATGGCAAATCAAAGGAACAAACACTGAAAGCTAAATATCCAAAAAAAAAAAAAACAAAGGTTTAACCACCCACCCCAACCCACCTCCAACTTGTCGTTTTTTAGAGGTTGTTTGGGTGGAGAGAGACTTACTCTCCCAAAACTTTTCCCTTACAAGATTTTTTTATATATTTTTATATATTAATTTATAACCAAAAAAAGATAAAAATAACATTATTAACTTTTTATTTTTTCTGATACAATTCTCAATTTATAAACTTTTCTTCGTATACCTTTTAAAAGAAAAAAGTTTTTTCCCAACTTTGTTTATGTGAAAATCAATTAATAATTTTCCTATAAACTTTTTCCGCATTAATTTCTTATCAAGTACAAAAAATTAATAACCTAACAAAATCCTAATAAAATTTCATTACACAATTTATCAACTTTCCATACAATACTTTCCCAACTACTTATTGAATAAAAGCCTTCCTAATAACATTGGCTTCTAACGAAATACGCCCTTAGGTATTAGCCTTCCAACATACAATATATCATTTTTGACTCCTTAAGTCATCTAGTTAAGGAAAATTACCCCATATTTAACGGCAAAAAATCATATGACCCACATGGCCATTACCCCTCTGTTAACCCAAGCCTAATCAATACCAGCTCAACAGAAAATTGACAAGTTATGCTGCCTACGTGACTATTCTAAGTCCCACCGTAATCTTATGCAAATAAAACAAGGATAGTGCTATATGGATAATTTTTTTGTCTCATTTTTTATACAACTTTTACATGTTATTAAATGAATTGATGCATTCAATATCACAGATTTCACATAAATTAAAATAATCAATTATTTTAATGACATGTCAAATTATATAAAAAGATGAGATAAAAATGTTATACAAAAATCATTTCCCATAAAACAAGTGCCACACATACAAATTAGGGACCCACTAAATTAATTAATTAATTAAAAGGGGTTCAAGGGCGTGTAGTTCAAGGGTGTGGATTCACTCTTTGATTGGTTGCCATAGACTTTGAGTTATCTTCCAAACGACGTGTAGTTCAAGGGCTAATTGTATGTTAGGGAGCTAACACCCTAAAAGATAAGAAGTTGGAGTGGGGCTGGGGTTGGTTAAGCCAAAATAACAAAAACAAACAAACAGAAGCAACTAAACATAATAACATAAGGTGAAGGGTAACTCATCAACTGTAAATTTTGAGAAAGGGCTAATAATCATCAACTGTAAATTTTTATGAAAAAAAATGAACTATATTAAAAAGGTGAAATTACATGCTAGATTCTCTAATATCAAAAGAAGTTAAAACTTATAGCACTAATAAAATAAGATTTTTCTCATGCCAAATCTGGACAGTTATGTAAATATGGCCAACTAGTAAAATAATAATACATTAATATTGGTATATACATAAAAATTTTAGTTGTTTTAGTTAATTAACTGAATTATGTGAATAATTTTAGTTATCCGTAATTATAACCAAATTAAATATCTAGTTTAAGTTTGGTATGAAAATCTCATTTAAAAATAATTTTGAATAACTAAAAATTCAGATTTAATTCAGACAATTAAAACTAGATGTCCAATTCACAACCCCCTAATATTAGATATCCTCAACCTAGATAATCAAAATTCCTTGTTTCATAATTAAGTATTTATTTATTTATTCTTCTTGATTGTCAAGGGAGAAAAGCGACATCAAGGAAGAAAAGAAACAAAAGTGAGGAAGAGAATAAATGCCAAAGAGAGAGAAGGGAAAGGAGGGCGAACATCAACCGTAATTTATCTAAATTCTTAATAACCTAGCAAATCACCAACCTTCACGTTTTTTTCTCTACTGACCACCGACCGTCGCATTAAAAAAACTGTTTGATAGAGAAAATAAAACTATATTAATGTAAAAGATAGAGAAGGTAAAAGAAGAAAAGCGGAGTAGTATTGAGTAAGGTTTATGCCATCGTCATACAAGTAAAACCATAAAAGTAATAAAAATATCAACTATCATAATCCATCTTCAAATCTCCAACTATCTACCATAAACCTAATTACCAGCCTCTGAAAGTTCCATCATCCATGTTAAGATAAAAAAACATCGATGGTCTCCTTCAATTTAGCTGACATGAAGCTTTGTTAACTTAGAAAATGTTCTTCAATCTTTCATGATGAAAAAATATTCTAAAAAATTGATGCTTAAGCTAGCTATAAGTAATTAAATTCAGAATTACATAATATCTCAACAATAGTAGCATAGCCCTCAAATTTAAATTTCTCAGCAATTAGATTAACGAGTCATAAATTTTAAAAATACTAATTAAGTTTCCTGCACCTAATTAATTCACTACAAATACTATTCAAAGAAAAAGGAATTAACTTAGAAAATAAAAAAGTTGCATGCTTACAAAGAAATACTTCATATAGTTCTAGAAGCATCCGTAAGGCTTGTGAATTGTCTTGAACAAGTGAACATTTTCATTGTTCAACTTTTGAACATGTTGAGCTAGATAAAACATCATCTTCATGTATGCATCCCTGCATTTTCTCAAAGGCTCCGTAGCTAAAATGGTCTCCTTTGAGATCTTTACCCCATTTTTCCAGCTGCCCTTCTTCACATTCTCCTTATCCGAATCCTCACGTCTCAATCTCTGGTATTTCTTCCTTCTCCTGCGCCTGATCATCTTCATGTTAAAGCAGAGTGGAGCTGCTTCCATGTTAGTAAGTGGTTTATAACTAAAATGAGCAAGCTAGCATAAAGCTGAAAATGAAAGGCAACTTCTGCGAAGGGAATTGAAGATGTTAAATTAAATGGAAGGGAGGTGTGGAGATTAATTATAATGCCAACTGCTTTTAGAACCTGTTTTCTAGGGTTTTAATGAGTATTTAGGATGATAGGTGTTTGGCAATAATAGTTTGTTTACCAAACCAGTTTCAGAATTAATGGTTAGCTGAAATATTAAACCCATCCAACCACTCTCATTGACTTTGAACTTGTATGTTGAGTATATATGTAGAGCGGCAATTTTTCACGATTCCTGTGGAACCATAGGGGTGCGAGTGGAGGCGGGGTATTCCTTCCTCATAGGGCATTTTGTTTCTCATGAACAATTAAAAAAACAAAAAAGAGGAATATTATTGAATCCAACTTAATTTACTGATTTAACTCAAACGGACGGGGTACTTTCTTCCCCGGCTTTTTCTTCTCATGAACAAATTTACACACATATATATATATATATAAATATATTATTGAATTCATATATTTAACACAAAGTTATAGATCATATCCATTGCTTATTTTTAGTTTTAGTCCAATACTAAAATCCAACTACTTTAAACCAAACACAACTCAACACTTTTTTCTTTCTTAATTCAACTCTTAAAACCATTTTGTTTTAAAAATAATAAAATAATAAAATAATTGCATATTAGTCTTATTTTAAAATAAAACTAGTTAAAATTTTAAATAACCGTTGTTTTATTTAATTAAATTTTTATTTAAAATTTGAAAATCTATTTGATTAATGTCAATACTAAATTTGAAAATCAATTATATATTGAAATATAATTAATTTTTAAATTCATGTATTAATATTTAATAAAATAAATTTTCAAATTTTGAATTGAGTTTTTAGTTTTCAAAAGTAAATATCAACATTTGTAAGATATTTCTAAATCTTAAAAATAGATTTTAATTAAATGAATCTATATCCTTAAAGTTGGGATTTCAATTTTTTCAAAAGTAAAAATTAATATATATTACATTCAAATAAAAATAATTAAATTAATTTTGTAATATATATTGGTGGAAAGCAAGGAATCACTACAGGTACCCTTCCCACTGGTAATGGAGGTGGGAGGCAAGTTTTGCCTATCAAAAATCTTCTCAACGACTAGAATAGAGAGGCACTCTTCAGCCTGCAGGCCCCATTGCCATGCCTAATTAGGAAAATACAGTGCTTTCTATATATATGGCGTGCAGGTCCTAATTGGGAGTGGTTGAGGACTCAAATGATAGGATAATCAATGCAAGATAAGGATTAATTGATGGGGTTACAACACCTAATTACCTAAATGGCATCTCCTGGCTTATGTCTGCAATCTAAAATTGAACAACGAACTAAAGAATATAGGACCATCAAGAGTCAAACAATCTAAATCCTTCATAATGTACCAAAGTATAATTTCTTTGCCATAAATAATACAGCATTATTTACATATTACGATAAGCCAAGAAGGATTCTATATATGATTTAAAGGAAACAAGAAAACATTAAACTGAACTAGTTAGATGCCATGACATCTACAGGTAGTAACTATCATTCAATCTTTCAGATAAGCACATCACTATGTAATATCAATGGCTGTGCCTAATGGACATATATAGAACTATATGATATAATTAATATCTTTTTCCAGCTTCCATTCCTTCAATAGTGGGGCTTGTATCTTGGGAATTAGGTCCTATAGAGTCATTTTCTGGTCCCATTAACATTCCAGTTTCAGCATCTCGTCGCCTCATCTGAATAGAGAAGGATCTAGGAGCAGATTGAGCAGAATTCTGGTCAGCCAATACTTCAAAATAGACATGAGGCGCCCAACCTGCAAAATTCGTGAGAGTTCGATTGATGAACAAGGAAACTACATATGCATCAAACCAAATGACATCAAAAGGTGCCTAATTAACTGAGATTTACCATCTTCACGATTTGGGAAAGGAAAGGCCTGTAAGTAACAGAAGGAAGCCACAGTTGATCCTGCGTCAAACCAATTGTAGGGATGTGTGGATCAGCAATGTTGTCATTTGCATTAGTATGCTCTAACTTCTTGAGGAATTCATGCTTAAGCTCATTTCAGTGGAAAAACAAACCTATGAGAGCTCCAGTAAAGACATCGGTCCAGTGATGCCAGTAGTCATCAACACGAGAAATGCCCACAAGAGCAGCCATCATTATGGGGAGGAACAAAATACAGAGTTTAGCAACATGGCCTCTGCGGTCAAAGGCTCTAATTTTTCCTGACATATACCATGCTAGAAAAGTAAGACCAGCAAAGGACCCTGCATTTTAAAATCCCAAAAAAATGTTGTGGAAAATAAATTTCAACCCTCAATCATGTGCAAAGTGGTAAACACTCTCCCTCAAGAGGTGTCCAACAATGACTGAAATAGCTTCAATCAACAAAATACCTCTCACACTTACAGGAAGTATGTCCACTAGGAAAACTTTTGTATCCTTCCTTTATGTCGTTCACATGTCCATGACAAACAACGTTTCCTGTGACATTGTTAAAAACCTGGACATGCAAAGACCACCAGTAAGCACTAATTAACATAGTAATTTGATTGGGAAATAATGGCTAACATAGTGATTTGGTTGGGAAAACTCACAGCTTTTCCATCAGGGAAACACCGGAAAAAGAAGTTTGGCCTTGGTCTACCAACAGCATCTTTGATTGAATCAGTTATAACTCCAGTTATCAGAACAGAAAACAGAAGGCCTAATCTTGCATGTTTAATTAGTTGAGTTAGCAGTGATGGATTTTGAGGTACCAAAACTCAGTTTCCGAAAAGATGAATGAGTATAAAGTCAGTACCCATTGTCGCATGGTGCAAATCATAAACATCCTTTCTGAAAAGGTAGTATATAAGAAAGACAATCAACGGCAACAATATCACTACAATCTGTGCCAGGAGTTAGAAAACTGTTATAAGTTATATATACACAGAAAATCCATATTAATCAGATTAATCATGCAAGGTTTTGAATACATACACCAACAATCCAGAAAGGTATTGTATCTTGATGGAATGGATACTTCAAATCTGTCATCATTCCCTCTCCGACGAAACGGTGAAAAGGTTCTATGAAATTCAAAAGGGCATCAATCACCACAAGAAGTAGAAGCATTATCCAGTCATGCATGTGTGTTCTTGCCACTTTGAGCCCATGGGATTTTACTGTGTGAGCTCCTAACAATATCTCTGACATATTATTTAGCTAGACAACAACCTGAAAAAAAAAAGGGAAAAAAAAATCATGAACAATAAATCTAAGATGAGTGAGATCAAATGAAGTGCATTGTATATGAAACGAAATGTATTAATCCGAATAGTCCATCATCAAATGTGCAAAACAAATGCGGTTTTAGTTTTTTATATCCTGCAAATTTACATAGATGAAAAGAAATGCTTTCAACCATAACATGTTTTTTTTTTTATCAGCCAAATAACAACTTTTTATTTAAATACTGAAATGCTTTCAACCATAACATGTGAAATACTGAAAAACCGATCTCATCGGATCGAATTTCTATTCAAGGCAAAATGGGGATCAAAAGACTAGCATGAACGAATTTAATTAGAGAAATTAAAGAGGGAGGGCAACCATGCAGACCTTTCTGGGTGTTAGAAGCTTAATGGATTTGTCAAAAATGGCGATTCAGGAAAAGTGGGTTTGTTTCTTCCTTGGGCTGCAAGGAAGATGAAGATTTATAGAACGTATCAACAAAAACTGATAAATCTGGAAATAGGAGGCATAACAGAACAACTACGGATCTAAAATAATATTTCAATTATTAAAATTGCATCTGTAATTGCTTACACCAACACAGCACTCAAAGGAAATTTGGATTTGCAGTTTTTGTTCTTCTTGATCTCTTTTCCCACCAATGAAATTTTCCTCCAACTTGAATAGAAGATGTGCATGCCTTTTCTTGTTTTCAGTAAAACTAATTTTAACTACCGCATTACCATCAATAAAAAAATAATAATAACTACCACATATAAGTAATCTCCTTAAAAATTAATAAATAAATAAATATAAATTTGTTTGTGAGAAATGCAAACTGCACTTGATAAATGCAGAGTGCAGCATAACAGCCCAAGTGCAATTTAAAAAAAAAAATAATAATAAAAATCAAAAGATAGAAACAAAAAATAAAGTGGGCCGACCGGAGGAGTGCAAGTGCACTCAAGGGCATGCCAAGTGTATATAGCACTCGTCAACCGTTCAACAATGAGGCCTCTATTGCTTGAGCCTAATGATGCTTGAGAATTTGAGATTGTAGATTGAAAATACTATATATCAGTTTTGATTTTTAAAAAAATTAAAATGTCAATTTTAAATAATATTGTTTTATTTAATTAAAAAATTTACCTTATTAAATGTTTATATTTGTATTTGAAAATAAAAAAACTCAATTTAAAATTCAAAAATCTATCTTATTAAATATTAATACCTAGATTTATAAACTAATTTTATATTCTAATGTGAACAATGATTGGTACACATTCCAATTTAACACATTGTATAAATTACTCATTAAAAAATCATTATTTTCTTATATTAAATTAAAGGTGGGGAAACATAAAAATACAACTATACATACAAGATTCAAGATTTGGTTGAATTAATTGTAGTTATATTATATTATAATAGATGAACCGAAATGAATGCCAGAAAATATGTTAAACTGAATGTGTACAAATTGTTTTCCCTTCTAATATAATCGATTTTTAAATTCAAGTATCAACATTTAATAAGATAGGTTTTTGAATTTTGAATTGAGTTTTAATTAGATAAAACAACATTAGGACTCTTTTTTTTTTTTTTTGGTATTTGGGATTGATATGCACTATTTTCTTATAGATTTGTGTTTTGGACAATGATTGGACACACTTTACAATATACTTATTAAAAAATTATTATTTTTAAATTTAAATTTAAGACGAGAAAAATTTTACTTGTAAAATTTAATAATTAACAGATGAATGTTAGTAAATGTATTGAACTAGAAAGTGTATTAATCATTACCCGTGTATTTTACCTTCATTCTTTTCATAAAAAAATAAATAAATTAGGGCCAACAAGTGTTTTATTGAGTTGATACTTACTAATTTAAAAATTTTTTATTTGAGATTAGGTTGGGAGTTTTAGGGTAGGAAAAGGCTTTTTTTTCATATGGTATTTTACTATTAAAGTGTCTTTAGTTAGTTTTTGCACACCTTAAAATTAATTTTTCTTTAGAAAATTTTGAAGGTCCACCTCATATTGGCTTAGTGTGTTTTAAAAAAATTAATTTTTTTTAGGAGTTTGCTCTAAGACTTGAACATTAAACTTAACCTACAAGACAAAACTTAATTACCAATAGTTCCAACCTTTAAAGTTGGTAGTGAGGGGCTTTGAGAGGGCTAGAAAAGAGTATTGTATAACTATCATCTTATGCATCAAAGAAAAATCTTGAGATGCAAAAAGTAGGGTATGAAAAGGTGAAATAATTAGACATTTGTGGCTGAACTAAAGAAAGAGGAATTGATCACTACAAGAATGCAACCTCGTTTGCCTCAGACAAT